AACAGCCCATTTTTATATTTGTTGCAATTACCATTATTTAAGGAAATATATTTTTGTCAAAGGGCTCTAAATAATACTATATACTATAATTAATATTCTTCCTATAGTCTCCTTAAACTAGCATTTTGAGTGACCTTGATAAAACTGTGTTTTGTCTTCAGACTGCCTTTAGAAACATTTTTGCACATTTAAAATAGATAACCGTGAATTTACTTCATTTTCATTTAATCTTTTCATACTTCTTGACTTAGGCTACAAGTGGAAATGACTTTAGTCATTGTCTAGTCCCCAGTGGACTTTAGTATTCCACACTACAATCCCTACAATTTGGCCATTTTTGTAGTCTTAAACTGGAATAAAAAAATGTTAACTGTTCTCATGCATTTTATTCTTGAATGTATGTGGGAAAACTTTCACAAAACCTTCCCCCACTATGCATGAATTGAGGTAGTTTGTCGAGTAGTATCATCCTGGGTGCTCCACTGAAGGTGTTGGGCTCGTCCCAGCGCCGCAAATTGGAGATTTTTAGTTAGCAGGAGCCCAGCTGGACCGCACATGCGCACTCACCGTCTCGCGCCATTTGTGCTCTTTTGCGGAGCGCGGTCCAGCCCCGCCAGTTCCTCCTAACCGTTCATGGCCGCAGTCGGAATCCAGATGAGCTCCTCCTCCATTCTGATGAAAAATAGGAAGAATAAGAAAAATAAGAAAGATTAGTTTGTTCGTCCCAGTTTAACCCTTTCCATTAGTTATAGTTCATAGCGTTCTGTTTTAGTTTTTTTTAAAAAAAACATATATTAAGTTTTTTTCTCCTGTTCAAGAAAAGAAGGCAGAGACAGAGAGACTATCTTAAGATTTCTGATCACACAGGATAGTTGCCATCATGCCCGGATCCCCCGGGTTCAAAAAGTGCGCGAGATGCGATGCCTGTGTCAGACGGCCATTTGCGCTGTATTAAGTGCCTCGGGGAGGGTCACATCCCTCAAAAGTGCATGCATTGCACTAAGTTAACCGCCTGAGCCAGGAAGGACAGAGAAATGTGGCTCAAAATGCTGCTTTTCAATAGAGTATTGCAGTCGCCAGTGGATGAGACTCCTGTGGGGCATAAGTCTCAAGACAAGAGGAGTTCCGCACCTTATAGGAGTATGGGTGCAGGAGATAGACCTGGCACCTCCAGTTTGCCACCCAGGAATGTTAGCGGCAAGGCAGGCAAGGGCCATAGCACATGAACTCCGAGCCCCACCATAGTTAGCGACCTGGCGCCGACGGTGCACGCGGCGTTGCAACCAGAATCGGCAACGGCACTGAGGGCCCATGCTACTACAAGACCAAAACCATTGGCACCGAAGGCACTACAACACCCACCTGTGGTGCCAATGGGCTCAGCACCGCTACCAGCAGCACAGGCGGCACCGCTGATATCAACAGCACCAACATCACCACTACCGACGCTGCTAGCACTGGATGACATTGTCCCCGCACCGACCAGCCTACAGCGCACAACTCCAGTTCCTCCGCTTATCTTTCCAGTACCTACTAAGGCACAGTGAAAAGCGAAGCACGTCCGCACACCATCACCTAGTCCAGAATTGGATATCTTTTCTCCGGAGCCTCCTTCTCCAGCTTTGTATCACTCTGGAACCCAACAACGTGTTCCACACTACATTTCTTCCCGGGAACGGTACCTAAGATCACCACGTCGATCTCTAATGCCTCGACAATATTATCCTCCTTACCACTCCCAGTTGCCCTCACATTATTCAGTGAGGTTAAGATTGCCGAGGTCTCCAACACCTTCAGTATATTCCCAACACTACAGGAATGCAAGCAGGTATTCCCCGAGGCACTCCCCTCATGCATATCATCACAGGCGACACTACACCTATTATCACCACAAGTGCCCATGCTCGCGAAGCGCAGACTACTCTAGATCTAGATCACCGAGACATAGGCGATCCCTGTCTCCGCAGCATCTGACCCACGACAACCCCCCTCCGCGTACAGCTCCTCCGACACCCACGGAAGACGTGCCCTCCACCGCTAACCAACAGGAGAGGGATGACAACCTGCCTCCTGACCATGAGCAGCATCACTTAGATTCCCCCACTGACCAGTCATTTTCCTCACCTGATGATGCAGTGTTTCAGGGGGATTCTTCTCCGACAGATGACTACAAGCAGTTCCAGGAGCTTTTTAAAAGAGTCACTCCGTCACAAGAAGTTCAGACCACAGACGTGGCACAAAAACAGCATCGTCTGCTGAAGAACCTACAACCGTCGCAAAAATTGAAACTGGTGCTTCCCTTTGATGAGGCCATCCTGGAAAAATCGTTAATGACATCTGGCAAACTCCAGCCTCTACACTGCTGAACAAGTGGTTGGATAAAAAATACTTCATTTAGTCTAAGGCCACAGAATTCTTGTTTACACACCCCCAGCCCAATTCCATCGTCATGGATGCCGCTCAGCAGACAGTGAAAACTGCACAGGGTGAGTAACCCTTTCTTCTTTTACTCTTTCATAGGCAAGAAATTCAAGTGCAAATTGTTTGGTTTGGTTTTTAATAAAAACTCCCTTTTATGCCTTTAATGAAAGTTAAATCTTTGTAGATCTCTGGATCTGTGTTTACTTGCATAAATATATTATTTTTAATGTTACTGTAAATTAATGGACATATTACCTCTGCCCTTCTCTATGTTAGGGGCATCTTCTGTCTCCTAAATAAGAGTGTTCATAATTCATTTTATTATGAATTAACACAGCAAGCACCCCATCTTGCTATCTTTCCATGCAGTATTTAGCAAAAGACATAGGAACTTCTGTTTTGTTAGCAATGGTTTATTGCATTGTATGCTTATGTGTTAGATGTGCAAGGCCTTTCATTAAACAGCAGGATATTATTAGGCATAGCATGAAAAGCCTTTATAGTGTATCTGCCTTGTTTAAACTTGGCCCACAAGCAGACTGCAGACTAAAAGGGTGAGCAATGAATTGAGAGTTGATGGCAGGCCCATCGAGGTCCTAAGGCTCAGGTGGTTGTCAGCCATAAGTTTAGCTTAGCTCTTTCAGTAATTTGTCACGCCTTGGTCTGCTCCTGCTGCGCCAGCACGTGCCAGCTTAGTGTCAGAGTGCCTGTTCGCCAGACGGCCACTCAGGCCTAACATCCTGCTGTTAACAGGACCAGCGGCTTGCTGTGGCAGTATGGAATACAGAGCCTTGGCAACAGCCAAGTGCTGTGCAGAATAAGCATGTTCATAATGAGATGTGAATGGCATCAGTCAGTCCCTTTAGAATAGCGTCTAGGCGTGTGCCTCCTCTCTTAGGAAGTTTGGCAGCCTATTCATTAACAAGAGTCATCAGGAGTTCAGCCTATAATAGTGAAGCAGCCCCAAATACACTCAGCCTAATACTTGTGCTATCAGGAATGTGTGCTGCTGGGCTTTAAAAGAAAATAAGTAAATAAAATCGTCAGCAGGTGCAATCTCTGAAATGCTAAGTATTCATTTGCTTCCTTCAGTTTCCCAAAGGAAGTTTATAGAAGGATTTATCATGTGTATCTGTCTCCATTAGCATGAAAATCTTTCTAAAATGTCTTTTCACCTCGTGACTACAGTAACTTGCATATGATTAAGACATAAACACATTGATTATCCCCACTGAGACAGACCACTAGAAATCTAATGCTGTATTATTTTACTCTGGCTTGAAAAGAATGTTCAGTCATTTTTAGTGTCTCATTAATGTAACAGAAACTACAAACTTGCGCAGTGGAATAATTCTAATGAGTAATGTAGTCTTTTGAATTACAAAAATTCCAATCACCTACATTCTATTGAGTTGCTGGTGTTATTTCATCTTCTCATAATTTGGTAGTTACGAATTGGCACTTTCTCCTATTTAATGCAGCCTCATAGAATTAGAATGCTTTCCCATATGACAAAAACACAATGAAGATCTGAAAACTTTTTTTTAAATGAGAAAATGGGGAATGAGATGTCATACTGGCTTCAAGTGTTGATTCATAAAGTCATATGTGAGTTTCTTCAGTCCATTGTAGATTTGTTTCAGACGTTATCCTGTTATTGGAAATGCATGATTCACCTTTTGAGAAAACAGAAGCTGCACACAAAAGGAAAAGATTTGCTTTCTCCACTGTGGAAAGCTGCTGCAAGCAGGGGTCCTATTAAGACAGCTGGAAAGTTGCTTCAGCTTGTTACGCTTGTAAGTTTTATTGGTGACTGGTTTTTGATTACACATTTGAATGCTGCATGTTCCAGATTGCCGAATTTTAATGAAAAGGCAATAATCTTGGTTTAGATTGCTTTATTGTCTGTATTGTATAGACTGTACTGACTACAAGGTCTTATTTTATTAATATGTATAATTTATTGGTACATCCAATGATAACTTCTGCAGAATAACTTTAATGTAAACTTTGTATGCTGAGGAATCCTATTCAATACTGTGTACTTCCTTATTTTAAGTAGTGCAGTGATCAGTTGCATCTGTTCTTTCCCTTTTGCTATAACCTGCACTCTCAATTCCATTATTTTTGATAGGATAAAAAGAAAACATGTAAGGCAAATATTATCTATTGGGAGCATGCTTAACTTGTGACAACATTTCTGTTGACATTATGCTTTTTTACCTTAAAAATATAGCATTTTATTTCCCAAGAATATACTTCTCAGGTCTTTGGTTTCATTCCCACTAACTTCAGAGATCTCTTGGATTCAGTCACAAAGCCATTCCTTTTTCAATGATATTTCTATTGAAACAAAATATTATTGATATGGCAAATAATATAAAAAAGAACAATGTTATTGCAATTCAGGACTTAGGTTTAGAAATCTTAAATATTTTAAGAATTTTCAAAGGCATATTTTTCACACCAGTTATGTAGTTCTCCACATGTGTTTGTATGGATTGAACCATTAGCATTTTAAGACATTGTGTAACAACATTTCATTTTGCATGTGCATTTCCTTAACCTGATTATTGCAGTTATGAGGAAAGAGCTCTGTATCTTGAAGCAATAATCCAGAATCACAAAGAAGTAATGACATTTGAGGATTTTACATCTCAGGTCTTTGCTCCCTCTCCTACCTACTCTCTCAGTGGAACTGGTGAGTCTGTATGTTATTCTTCTGTTTAGCACTAAGAAGCACTTGAGCAGCAGATGTACACCTGTTTTTCATAGATAAATGCTTGCAAATTTAAGAAGAGCATTCTCCCTCTGAATCAACTAATGAATATCAAAAGGAATGATGACATTCATTTTAATTTGTTTTGCATCAGAGCTATTCACTCAGTTCCTTTCTTCAGCTATCCTGTTAACCCCCGAATCTAGCAAGGTTAATGAACTTTCTCTCAGTAATGTGCTCTGGTTCATTCAGGAGTGTGGGTTTCTTGCTGAGCTGGGAATATGTTGTTCAAAAGCTATGCCTGAATCAGTGCTTACTTATCAAAAATAGTTCCTCACAGTAGAAGCCGTTGCTGCTAATGCTAAATGCGGATTATGCTGCTGAGATACCAGGGTCAGGGATTAATGCAGAAGAAGTGTAAGGATAGTGTTCAGTTAGAATATTCTAACAGTAATACAGTATGCTAACATTGTCTTTTTAATATTTGATAAATCAGTGGACAAATTTCAAACTTCCTACCAATGCCTGGATTAGAATCTCATTTTTTAACTCGATTTCAACAATTATTTCACCAGTCTTGTTGAATGATGGAAATCTATGTAAAACTCAGTGAATATATTCTTCACATCATAAGATGTTAAGTTAACATCAAAGCTCAATAAGATACCAGTTGCTGCTTTGTCATTTTAATTATTCTTGATAAATCAGTTTTAAAGGGAAACCTTAATTCTAAAGAGTAGGTTTCTAGCACCCTCAGGATTAATTTTCCTCTCTTGTGGAAAAGTATATGGTCATTGCCTGATGAATTCCTTAATAAAGATTCCTTAATCCCTTCTTTACATCCATTGGGTGTACACTTCCTAATTATTTCATGATACTCTCTTGGATTGTTTAATAGATTATTTCAAACCTTTATGAACGTGTCAGCACATCTGCTTTATTTCCCTTTACTCTGCCTTGTTAACAAGTATCTTCCATCTAAACTGAAAAATTGAAGGAAGAAATTAAATTTACTGAAATAAATCACTTACAAATAAAATCAGCCATGCATCATTGTTTAACATTACTGGCTCCAATCCTTGAGCTTTCAGAGCTTTGTTAGGAGATAAGAGGTATATGCATGTACTTGTATTGGTCGCCAGTAGCAGCAGGCAGAAGGCTTTGGAGATAAGCAAGCTGGCAGAAGTAAAGGGGAACCAGTGCTATTTACATAATCGCGCCTCTGCTTCCTGGAGAGGCGTCAAGAAACACAGGGATGGCCTCTATTGATCTTTGTTGAACTGGAATACTAAACAACATTAGAAAAGCTTATAACTTAAAGCTTTGATTAATGTTTTCTACATTAAAAAGTAGAACAGCTGTGAATTAAATTCTTTTATATACCCTGCCAAAACTCAGAGACGAAAAAAATTATCAATTTCAATAGAAATGTAGATTTCATACCCAGTTTTGTTAGAAACTTGGAGTTCTTTATCTGTTTAGATATCAGCAACTAAAATGCATCTTGGCAGAATTTTAAAATACTTTAAGTATATTTTATTGTCTTCGTCAATCTTCCATACTACTGTTCCACCACATTTGCATACATTATTTGGTCACCTTGTTCTGATCAAATCAAGCATAACTAGAAAAGACATTACTGTGGAATAATTTTCTACATTTTATAATTTCTGTTAAATGCCAAAATTACCTAAAGATCCATTTAAAATGTTCACAAGTTAAATTATTCTAGTACTTAATGATTATTTTCTTTTCCTGTGATTTTTGTTTTTCTTATCAGAACTTGTCACAAAATTCAGATCTTGATTTTTCAGCCTTCCAGAGTTTGGCTTTGGGCTTCAGTGTATCCAGTTATAGTAAAAGGCACAAAATTCAGACCCAAGCTTAATTTCAGAATCATCCCCTGCCAGTCTGTCTTATTCCCCCTCCAAGGTTTCAGGTTATTCTGACTGAGCAAATCTTTAGTCTACTCAGCATTATAAGACAGTTAATATCTGTTTTAAACAATCTGTTGTAATTAGAGAATGCTGGAAGGAAAACACAGCAAACTGCATATTGGAGAAATTAATTTCATTTATGGGCTTTAGAAAATGCTATATCATAAGATTTCAAATGATGTGTTAGAAGAGATGTATCTATTTAATAGTTTTAAAATAGAAATGTCTATATAAACAACTTCCTGAATCATGAAAATTATTTATCATGTTAGGCTTTACAAAGACACATGTATACATGACTCAAGAATTTCCCTATTCCAGGATTAAAAGAAAATCTATCCATACTTTTACTTATTACTGCTTACTTACTAAATTGTTTCATGTCAGGATTACTATGATTCCTATTATAATTAGATTTCAGGACTGTGCACTCTTCGGCTTTAAGTCAATATTGAAACCCGGATATAACTCAAGTAATTGCACGGTTGTTGTTAATCCTGAATAGTCTCAGGGCTATTAATATAGGTCCTGATTCTGCAAAAAGATCCAACAGAGCCTCACGGAGGTGGGGAAGCTCAGCATGAGCACACTGATCTGCTGACACACATCTTCCTGTAACATCTGGGACATTTGGATTAATAGAACTTTTCCATTATTATCATTTTAAATTATGATTTTGTAGTAGATCTTCCATTACCAACTCAATGTCTTGCTCTCAGGGCGCCTCTCGCTGGGATGGGGTGGGGAACCTGGGACTCGAACCCGCCACCCTACCCTCTGCATATAAAAAAGGAATCGGGACGGTGTATATTTGCATCTCTATGTGCAGATGCTTCATGAAATGGTATTACCATTCCTTTAAAACGGGGGTGGGAAACCTTTTTTGGGTCGGGGGCTGCTGACGCACAGAAAAATCAGTCGGTGATAAGAAGTAGGGAAGTGAGAAGCCCCTGACTGAGAAGGAGAAATAAACTCCCCACATTCCCCTCGCACCTAGGGGGGCCCCAGGCTAGCAGATTTTGTGTGCTCCAGCCCTGCCGGTAGGTGGCAGGGGAAGCTGGAGTGCCAGCACAGGCTCCCCAATGCTGAGCCTCAGGGGTTGGATCCCACATCCAGCCCCCAGGCCTGAGGTTCCCCACCTCTGCTTTAAAATAAAAAGAATGACACCATTAAATTCATATTAATGAATTCACATCCATTCGTTCACATCAATGCCTGGAAAAGGAGACTGAATTTATTTTGTGAGCTATTCCCAGAGCAAGTTTGAGTGCAAACAAATACAAGCTGTGATAATTTCAGCTTGCAAGTATTACGAGTGCTGTACTTACAGATACAGTTTCTACTATCCATTGTGTCTCGTGTCGTTCCGAATTTTACCTTATTTAAATGTGTATGTAGCAGAGTGGCTGTGCAATTTGTGTGGAAATGGCATTCTTCCATTTTTGAAATTTGACACATGTTGATAAGATCTCTGGTTACACAGAGGGGGATTGCCCATTTCAAAACAGAGAAATGAAACTTGCAAAGAAAAGTGGAACTGCCCAAGGCAGGTCAATCCATCTCGCACACCCTCACTCCAAGTAGCAAGCCAAGTGGAAAAATTGACCCTGAACAGCTTAAGCTTTCATGGTGTATTTAGGGCCCATTCTTCCTCCATTTTAACTTCAGCAACACAGATCATAATCCATGCTCACTGTATATACATATACACAATCCCAGATAGTACCTAGAATTTGTAAGCAGTTAAGAAATGTAAGATTTAAAAACATCCTGTGATATACTGTAAACTAGATTTACCTGATATTGCTCAGGTCCTTCACGGCAGGGAGCTAGGTGTGCATAGGGGGTGTGCAGGAGTCAAGGCAGGGGGTTGAGTATGTAGTAGGAGGGGAAGAGGGGCTGAGGGTAGAGGGTGAAGGGAAGCCACCAGCAGCTCCCAGGGGCCAGCCCAGAGCAGCAGAGGCCACATTGCCCACGTACCGGCTGCCCCCTGTGGCCATTTGGGTGTATAACTGTCCCTGCTATCACAGCTCTCCCTTTCCACTTAATTAAATAATCACATTCCATGCACATCCTACTGTCCTGGCATATCCATACCCGTTAGGGTATGAGAAGAGGAAGCTGCTTACTAAATGTGGTGATTGTAGCTCTTACCGTTTAGGAGTTCTTGAATAAACGGACTCAGACGGACAGACAGACACAAACTCTCTCAAATATTTAATAGATGAGTGCAATGAAAACATGGCCATTAATAACATGCAGCTTTTATTAATTCATTGTACTTTCATGTTCTATGACAAACTCAGACAACTAGCAAATAGCAAGAGGCTACTTAATGAATGTTGCCCCAGACTCTCATGTGACATGGATTATAAAGTGACCACTGGCTTATGCACCCATCCTGCAGATGTTTATGGGGATGCTTACCTTTGTGCATGGGAATACTCTGATTTCCATAGCTCTTTGTAGGACCAGCAACTTTTCATAAGTAGTGCTAGATCTCCATGCATCTTAGACACTGAAAGTACAGAATGTACACATCATGATTCACTTATGAGACATTCAAATTTAGGATTAACAGATCAGAATATGGTCCTTTGTTGCTAAACCGTAATGTTACATGCTCTGTTTTAATTAGGCTGCATATAAGAGTCAACTGTGGACGTCCTCTGTAATCCCTCAGTATTTAATTATTCTCACTCTGTCCCTTTTCAGATTTTCCTTTAAAGGGTGTTCTTAGCTACATTCTTTCCCCCTTCTTCCTCCTGCCTCTCCTTGCAAAAAAAAAAAAAAACAACAACAACAACAACAATTATTGGACAAAATACTGGTTCTCCATACAAACTTCAGAAAGTGCAACTTGATGGTGCATCCTTTCAAAAAAGCAATCCTAAATGGTCAATACATATGTACTAACAGGTGCATAAAATATGTTCGCAAGCCTGATTGCGCTTGTTAATGAAACAAGCAGAGTAGCAGTATAAGATTGGAAGCCCAACAGTGATTTTAATTCCTCTGAGATGGAAATATTTGAAAGTTCTAGTA